ATAATTGTACTGGTTCAGTTACGTGTGCTATACAAAAATATGATAACTTACCATCATGTTGGCCTACATCCATACGGTGGATGATGACAATTAACCGCCATTTTCTAAACTTTAAAATTATATGTATATATATTATATATTTATTAATACATAAATAATAAATGTGTATAAAATATGATGCCCATAATACTACATCTCTGCTGAAGCTGTTTTACGATTCTAAAATTTAATGCAACCATGCATATTTTATGTAACTGAAAAACTGTCAACAGTAATATTGAAGTCTATAAGACAATCTAAGTACTAGATAATATCAATTTATTCTATTCATCACCCAATCAACAGTTGATTGGAATTGAATAGTTATTAATAATATTTAAAATTTTGTTTGATACCATAACTTATCATCACGATATATTTTTATCTTTAACCATGAATAGATTGGGCAAATATTTATTTCCAAATATAAGTGATTGTATTCTTTTTACCATACAAAGACAAATCTTAATATTAATTTAATATTGTGAAAGTGTAATTAAATCTTTAAAAACCTATCATGCTATTTTTAAACCATTTTCAGAACAACGCGCAATTGACTGACTGATACTCAGCCATAAAATGTTGAGGTGGCAAATGTATAGATATTCAATACTTAATAATTATCAATTATCTGACATATTGTTTGACCAGCAAGATAATTAATTACGGACTCCTATGATACCTACAAATTATACCGTATTATTAATAATAATAGTGATAAATGATTAGGTACCACGTGGTTGTTTGTTGATAACATGACACGAATTAAGATATACTGGATACGGAACGAGCGCTTATCAGTTGATACTCAACCTTCTTAGACTGCGGCACGACACACAGCGCTTATCGTGATATATTTTTGAACTAATATGGTATGATACAGTGATTACATTTTTAAATTTGAACAAGTTGTTTAATTTATTATTATATATTACATAATACATAAACTAAAATTAAATATTGCAGTATTGCACCTTTAATTTGACACCAATTTTGACAATTTCTTTTTAACTCTATTACTAGGTTGTTTTTGTTTATTTGTTTGGTAACTGAACTGTCTCATCCTCATTACTACATATGATGAAAAAATATATTGAACAACGTCTTCTTTATGTTCACTACACGGAAATGGAATAATATAATTATTTTTAAAGAAATGATCAACCGTATCTTCGAAAACATTTGCGCCTGCGGCATGGATAGCAAATGAAACTTCAATTTGTTTTATTAAAATGTAAAAGTTGTTATCCGGGTGAGTTAAAAAACCAAGAGTCTTCAGGTTGACGAGTTGAGCTGCAGGTAAATCAATTTCTTTACCATCAGTTTTAATGCCTGACAAACATAACTCGCATTTAGTTTTCTTGCTTAACCTCCGAGCTAGATATCTTGTCAATCAAAAACAAATACATTTAAAGATAAATTATTAATTTTATTAAAATAATGATTACTTATTTAGTACTTACCCAGCTAAATAGTATACAACACAGTCAAATGTTATATTATCGGAGAAATCATTATTTTTAAAAACATCATCCATATCCCATCTTCCTTCTTCCACTATTTCATCAATGTGATTTCTTAATTTGAGAATTTTCTCTTTTCTAATAGATAGCTGACTATTTTCTTTCATTGAATTTTTCAAATCAGATATTGTTATAACTGGAGCATAGTCAGTATCTAAATATTTAAACATGTTTTGTTTTTTTTTGATTGTAAACTGTTAGTTTTTTTAGGGTTTTTCTTTTATACCTGCAAAAACTGTGCAATTTCCACTTTTTGGTGGTTTAACCAATGAATACATTGATAATAGCTTATATAGTTGGAGGAATGTAGGAGTAGATGGATGATCATTTGAACCGGAACTCTGTCTGATGATTCCAAAAAATTTCTAAATGAACAAATAATATATTAATTATAGGTAGGTATGTTTAATGGCATTACACAATCGAAAACTAAGGATTCTCCAATTTATACTTTGCTTACTTCTAAAGAATCTTGGTTTAACTTTGACGTCAAAACATAACAAAAACCACATTGTTCTAATAAATAATGTACTAAATCGATAGTTGACTTTAACGTTATCCTCAAAGATTCACATGTGTTTTTAGTTAGAAATTCTTTTTCTTCAATAAGACCTTTTTCTAAATTTGTCTCCCATTCGTCCAGCCAATGTAGACTTTGATTCAAGACCTGAAGTAATACATTTTAAGTATATTTATAAAATAATAAATAAGTTACTCAGTATACTAGTACCACATCATCACAAACATGCAACATACATTTGTACTACTACCATTAATATTTACAGTTTACTTCAAACATTAACCAAAAATATATAGTTACAAATAATTAACACAATAAAACAAATAGTGGCTTAGAAAGGAATTATACAATGGAGCTTCATCCAAGTATTCCTTTAAAATCTGGCTATGCCGTAACACACAACATAGACATGCAACACAAATAAAACCTCTAAATCTTTGCTATTTTTCCTAACTCCTTCAGCAAGAAACTTTCTGTTCATAGCATCAAACATATCATTCATTTTTATCGTAAATTCTTGTGTTCCTAACGAATCATTAAGACCAGTACACTCTTGTGCACGGTAACACTGTATTCCTACTGCCATAGATTTGCTAAATACCTATATTTACATTTTTTATAAACCAAATTATTTTAATTAAATTTATAAAGTCATAGAATTATAAAATTACCTGTGTGGCGTATTTAACCTTCATTTTGGTGAGGTTGTTAAGCTCCATGTGATGCCTTGAGATTTTGGGACAAATTTTTAACATATTTTTTGAATCATTGTTAAAAACTTGACAGTAATGATCCCACTTAATACAGTCCTGGGAAGGATGAATCTTGGAAAAAAAAAGCAAACATTTCAATTTCATATTATAATATTAAAATACAAAAAAATTAAAAATTCTAATATTGTTTACTTTAAAATATTTATTTTGATATAATCGGTTCCTTATATTTTTTACAGTATGTGGAGCATCACACAGAACAAAAACTTTACGTGTTTCATCATAAGGGTTTTGAAAGTAATTTTTTAAATCTGCTCTTTTACCACTTACACCCAACATTTTGTACATAGTTTTGTTTGTTGAAGCTCCATCACTTGTAAGTGCTATAACTTGCAATCCAGAATCTTCTAATAGCATAATAGCTTTGACAACCAATTTAGCAAGATCAACACCTGTAATTTTTGAAATGAGTAGTTACTGATATAAGTTAACTATATTGTAAAAATATATTTTTTAATAATACAAGAATGACTGACCTTTAACTGGTCCTTTTGATGCAAATACAGCTATAGGTTGGGTTATATTATCAGCCAAGCTTTGCCATATAAACACCAGACCATGGTCAGCTTGCTCAGAACTTGATATTTTGTGTTCTACTTCTTGACCAAAATCTTCCAAGCCACTATATGTCAGTGTTCTGCTATTTACATTTATGCTTGAACGTAAAAAAATTTCATCCAATAATAAAACACCTTTTTTTTGGTTTTGTGTTTTATTTAAGAATTTTTTTTTTAATAAGCTGAAAAATGTACTGTCGAATCCACATTCACTTTTAATAGCTAATAAATGTTTTCTAATAGTTGTAACACATGGCAGAGGTAATAAGCCTTGGTCGCGTAAGAACTTATATCCCGATGGAGATCTATAAAATTGGAATAATTTTTAATTAATAAAAAGAAAATTTAAACACAAACATATATATAATATAAACACTACAATAAAAACACACACACATATATATATATATAAACCTTATTTGAAATAGAAGACAAAGAATCATCCAATTGTCAGAATAATGTCTACTTTTTGGATTTTTAAATTTAGCAGCAGCAAATATTTCGTGTAGTAAAATTGATTGACATTTTGAAATTCCTGAGTCTTCGATTAATTTTGTTAAGGTGCTATTTGAGACTTCTTTCATTTGATTTTTTATTGATATTAAATGTGATTTTAATTGAGAATTTTTATTTATTGTCCTGGATACCTGAAGTCTTACTTTATTTGTTATATATCTGAATTTATTTAAATGATGTCTTTTACTAGGGGAGAAATATACTCTAACTTGTTTACCCTTTGCAATTGAATAAGACTTCTTTCTGATTGAGTATAGTAACCTCATACACCATAAACAGCTAGGTCTTCATCATAGTTAAAAAGTAAAAACATTAATTAATTAATTAGTTACTTACACAAAATGTATAGGTAAATATTATTAAATCTAAAGAATACAATTTATGAAAATGTATTATTTATTAAAATTAATAAGAAAATTTAGTAATTATTAAAGATTTAATACCTGTTGTCCCTTATAAAACTGGAACAGTTCAAGTGTTTCCAATAGCCATTAACCTTTACACATTGAGAACTGATTGATGCTTTTACATTAGGAAATTTACTTGTTATAACAGCACCATTACATATTTTTAATAAATTAAGATTTTCAATCGCACATTCTATATCTTGTACAGATATTACTGAATGACATAACATTGGAAAATACTGTTGTTGTTGTTCCTCATTAATTTCTTTATTCATTACATGAACTATAATCTTAGAATCTGTTTAAAATTATAATAAAATACAGCCAGATGACAGATAATAGTTGGCAAAGTATAATATGAACTAATTATTAAAATATATTAATTTATATCTTAAGATTTAAATTCTTTTAAGAAGACTTAATGTAAAAATGTGATAAGTTTAGTCAAAACATTAGGTAATTTATAAAATGTATAACAATAAAAATTCACTTTAAATAATGGGTAGGTCATTCTTACCTTGAGTTACTATCAGTTGTTTTGAAATGATACGTCGGTAATCCTGATTGAATTCAGTTAATTTGAAAAATGACTTTGTTAATTTCTTTTCAAAACTATTTAACGAAACATCAGTATACCATTTTGCAGGTAATTTAATAGCCACACGTTTATTTATTAAATCAAATAAAGATTCCTGAATCATATTATGCTACAAAAGTATTTAATTATAAGTTAAATGATATTTAATAGAATTTTCTATAATATTATTCATACATGTTGTGATTTACTGATGTAATTGGTCGAAGACATTTCAGTACATTCTGCGACTTCATTATAAACAGCGGTTGGTTCCTACAAAATATTTGTAATTATATAAGAAATAATAAGTAAACTTGTTAATTCAATTTAAAACCATATTTTAGAAATGCTCACAATTGAAACATCTTGGTCAGTATATACAACATTTGGTAAAGATGTTTTTGATAATAATTGTTCAGCTTCATTTTGACATATATTCACATCTTCCTGATGATAAAAATAAGACTAATATTGGTGCATGATGTTATATTTTACTATTTATACTGTATAGTATATAACTATAGGTACCTACTTACACAGAATGAATTTTTATCTGAATTGCCATTGCCTAAAAATAAAGTTGGTATAGCTCCTTCTCTCAATCGAGGTTTTTTTAAACATATCTAATGTAAAATAAATATTATATAAATTATAATAAATAAGAAAGAAGGTCGATGAAAAAAATATCAACCAATATTATAAAATATTCTTACTGAATAAGCACTTGTTCCTTGTCCAGACACCCAAGTATCTATTATATTTTCTTTCGAAAAATGATCTCCACACACTCTCGATCTTTTACCCAAAGTTATTCCCACTGCTTTTTCCCATTTTTCATGGGCATTTTTTGGTATTGAAAACCGTGATTTACTATTACCAGAACAGTTTTTTACACAACATTTGTCTATCCGGGACATGGTGATTTACAAAATCAAAAATACAGTTGGTGTTATAATATATTTAATACTATTATTATATATTATTATTCAATACATGGAGTATGATTCAATATATCAAGTTTTTGAAAAAAAGGCGCGAGAAATGTGATAAATTATCACGGCTTGTTCATAATGTACACGAGATCGCGCTAGCAGTCTTGCCGTAACGTAAGAAGTTAGTACGTCGAAATATGAGTTGATAAGGGACTTCGTTCCATATCCAGTATATCTTAATTCGTGTAACATGAAATTAATAACACTTCTTAGTTCTTAGTTTCTTACTTATAAGTTTTTAGACCAGTTATAACTTAAAAGTTAATTTAAATCTAAATACATTTCTAATTATTTAATTATTTCAATCAAGTTGATGTTTTTAAGTCATTGTAATTAGTGCGTTTGAATTTTTGTCAACTGATTGTTATCTATTTACACTTTGAAGGTACTTTATATTTCTTGCTTGGATCATAAAAAAATTATATTTTTGTTCATCACCAAATTAGTTTTTTTATCACAATTCAATGTGTATTCTTTGTTTATTTAATTTGTATTTAGCTCATTGATTTAAATTAAAAAGTAGTACTAACGTTTACAAACACCGTAATATTTTACCCTATTAGCTACAAATAATATTACCTATGTGTATATTTATTAAACTTGATTGATAAATTAATCCTACAGAATTTTGGTTCTGGCTTATAAGTTATCTAGTTCAATCAAATAATAAAATCATAATATAGGTATTTACTATTTTGCTACATTTATTAAATATTATAAATTTTATTCATGTTTGAACAAATTAAAAATCAATGATAAGGTTCATAATATGCTCAAAATTGTATCTTTAAGAATAACTTTATAAAATAAATTGCAAGATTCTTAAAATTTATAAATTCTATACTTATTAACACAGACCAACAAAACATATATGCAATGCTTATTATGTTATTTTATCTCATAAAATATTGTCTTAAAATTTATTAGAAAATATATATCCAATAATA